CCATAATCCTTTGTTATGCATATACAATTTTGGGGCTGACTGGAACACTAAGATAGCCAACAGGTGGCCATACTGAATTTGGGAGTAAAAGATTGTTGGCACTATATTGCTCATAATGTAGAGGAGGGATCTTTCTCAAATTCCAAGTAGGGTTCCTCTTGGTTCTTAATTATGCATATCCAATTTTTAGCTTGATGTGAACCAAGATGGCTGACAGGAGGCCGCCATCTTGTTATAGTTGAAGTTTGTTGTTGCTATTTCTCAAAAAGTATCGGAGGAATCTTTCTCAAAGGGAGGGATTGCCCCTCCTTTGATTTCAATTTTCTTTTGGTGAGGCGTAGACTTAAACCTGATCACAACAATAACAAGAGGCCCATGGACCTAAACGGTCACCTGAGTCCTACAGTATTTATTTTTGTTGTTGAAATATGTACCAATTTGAGTAAAAAATAGTTAAGTATAATGTTAACTTAAGTTTGTCAGGACCATGAGCTTAAATCGGCCTATAAGAACTTGTTTTTAAGTTTGAAACACTTTTTTCAATAAGTTTGAAATACTTTTTTCAAAATAGCGGCCGTGGCGGCCATATTGGATTTTTGATCGACCCGAAAAATAACAACACTTTGTCAGGACCATGAGTCGATCATTCCTACAAAGTTTCAGTTCAATCGGCCCAGTAGAACTGGACTTTAAGTTTGAAATAGTTTTTCAAAATCGCGGCCGTGGCGGCCATATTGGATTTCTGATCGACCCGAAAAATAACAACACTTTGTCAGGACCATGAGTCGATCATTCCTACAAAGTTTCAGTTCAATTGGCCCAATAAAACTTGACTTTAAGTTTGAAATACTTTTTCAAAATGGAGGTCATATTGGAACTCTGATACACCCGAAAAATAACAACACTTTGTCAGGACCATGAGTCGATCATTCCTACAATGTTTCAGTTCAATTGGCCCAGCAGAACTTGACTTTAAGTTGAATAGTTTTTCAAAATGGCGGCCGTGGCGGCCATATTGGATTTCTGATCGACCCGAAAAATAACAACACTTTGTCAGGACCATGAGTCGATCATTCCTACCAGGTTTCAGTTCAATCAGCCCAGCAGAACTTGACTTTAAGTTTGAAATAGTTTTTCAAAATGGCGGCCGTGGCGGCCATATTGGATTTATGATCGACCCGAAAAATAACAACACTTGGTCAGGGAGATGTCAGTAACCTTCTCATGAAATATTTCAGCTTAAATTGAAAATGTAAAATGTTAACGGACGATGGACCTAAAGCTCAGGTGACCTAAAAAAACATTAAAATTCAAATGGGTTCTTGGTCCTTTTTTTCGTAGAAGCATAAAACTGAAATTCTCAAAAAGCCAGAGTTTTTCCCAAAAAGACTAATGTTGTCAAACTAACAATGCATTGACGGGATCATATGCTACAGTATACATGGAAAAATCCCTTGCTATGGTAAGTTATAAGATAATTACAGACAACTCAACAGCCAGAAGGCATCTCAAGCAATGATATTTTTCAGACAAAATATGTGTTCATTTTAGAGTAAAAGTATCTTATAACTTTTGTATACCAAAAATATTTTGAATATAGATGGACTAGTTCATGAACTACCAGTGACAAAAATATCAAACTTTATTTTCTCTTTCCACACGTGCAGATTAACCAACCTGATATCTAAAATAAGACATTTCTTAACAGAATTACTAAAAGCTACACTTAGAGGGTTAACCACATTGGGAACTTCAGTCACACACCTGTTACTAACCAAATTGGCTATAGCCTGTGAGACAAACTCTGGTTTTGACAAAGCGGACTTGTCATTTTTTGAAAATGAACGAGGAGGGGTTGAAATGAAAGGTATGGCATAGCCATTCTCTATAGTACTGACGACAAACTCGGGCGCATCTTATGTCTTTCCAAAACTGTACATGTTGTTTTAGCCCTTAACATATATTACAGGGTGTTCGTCCTGATACTCAAAAAACTGTTTGTGTGACCAAAGTCAGTCCAAGTCATACGAATAGGGCGTGTTATACTTATCATGTATGCCGCTGTTGCTCTCACTTCGCTCCTCCCAACTGCTGGAACTGACGGGTGCCGCCCTGTCTGTACTTGCCAGTCTAGATCTCTCCTTCAGTGACCGAAACCTCCGCATGAGAAACACTGGTCTGAAGGGGAACACTCTCTTGGGTTGATAGGTGTACTGCTGAAACCTTGGCCACGGAAAAATGATGAACCGGAGGCTGCCGCTGTCCAATTCTTGACACTTGGAGCGTTGCCGCCATTAGCATAACTAACAGAGCTACACTTACGAACATCGTTCTTTTGTTTAATGCTAAGTAAAGCCCTGTTCTCTGCCGGACGAACATGTTTCTCATCCTCGGAGTCCGAAGCCAGGTCGTCCGAAATATACTCATTGACAGTGGTCCAGCCAGCCGGAAACACGGGAAAACGCTTATATGGCTTCTAAACCGCAGCCTGCTGAACATTGAGAGGTAGGAGCCGAAGCCGTGTTGTTTGCCTCGGAAATGGGAATATCTTTCTCACTCATGTTAAAAAATAAACTATCCCACTATAGCGTCTGTCCAGGTGCGCTGCAAAAGCTTGAATGACATATCATAGCTTGTACACCTGTACAACTCACCTATATCACAGGTAAAGCATGTGCGCCTCGACCATTTTGAAGGGACCACGTCCTCCATCTACATCAATTATTTTTAAATTTCTAGGAGAAGGGATTTACAAAATGGGCAACAACATCCTTTATTCATGCAAAATGAAGGTCCCTTGTTCCAAGGATGCTTCAGAACAAATTTCGATAAATTCTCTTTGTTCCTACAGAAATGATGTTAAACCTCTATTTCCCCTATCGGGGCTATGCACCTCTGCCCACAGGGGGCCACACACATTGTTTACACAAAATATATTCTCTCAAGGGGGCTTTAGGCTGAACGCAGTCAGATTCTATCCAGCTGTTCCGGATTACTCCGACTAGTAACGTTTTCAAGGAAAAGTTGGCAGACAACGGACACTGCACCAAGGCATAAACTCACCTGTTCTTCGAAACAGGAGAGCTAAAGTGAAGCATTTATTCAGCATTCTCACAGACCTCGGCAAAACAAAAACAAAATTGTCTTCTTTACATCCTGCACTTTCAATCTTTTCCATAATTTTGTTTTTATACTTTCATTCAGAAATCTTATCTTCTCCTCGATCATGGCCTGTACATGTCTTTCTATCTGATTTCGATTAACGTCTTTCTCATATTTTTGTTTCATTTTCAGATACAGGATTTTCCCTTTTCTATAGGGTATTTACCAATGCTATTCCAAAAATATCTAATTGTAAAACTCTATTTTTACTATCAAAATCAATTACATATGTAACAGCTGTTTCACACATACAGTACCATGTATCTATAGTGTCAATAGAGCGAACATTTTCTGTTTTTGATTGGTGATAGAATTGTTTTTTTCCTCTCAATATTTTTCAAAACTATCTCGTTTTATATAGGAAACAACAGGACCTGAAGTGGTTCTCAAAAGGTAATGGACAGGACTTTATGAATAATTTTGCGTAATTTTGAAAAAGAATGATAGTTTGTGATCAAAGACTGCTGGCATTATCAACAAATCCACTGACCCACATTTCGACATCTCAATTGCATTCCTCTATAAATATCAATACTTTCAAGATATCTCAAAATTTTCAATCAAAGTTTCATACTTCTGTGTGTATATAAGTACACTGTTCTTACAAATGAGGTTGTTGTTTGAGCTATTTACTAGTAGAGTACTTCATGCTTAACAAGGGGAACTTAAATTTGAAAAAGATCTTTCTAACACTACTTAGACAAGAGGCCTGGATCGCTCACCTGGATATGTTTATATGCTCATCTGCCCCCAGGGGGCACACCCACCATTAATAAACAAGAGGTCCATTGGACCTGTATCGTTCACCTGGTTTTATATTTACGTCATTACAACTGAATGCATTAGTACATCTTTATATGAAATTTCCTCAAAACCAGACAAGATCTATGTTCTGACCCAACTGGGACCACAATATCTGACTTTCAACTAATGAGGGGCCTCCATTGAGTTGCCAGGTTAACAGCTTTTGAAATAAATAATATGTCATATTACAGGGTGTAATTAGACAATACTTTAATTTTCATTCAACTATAAGCTTTTATAAACCTAGAAACCAATTTTTAACAATTTATGAAAACTACACCATAGAATGATAATCTAGCTGTCCCATTTCTTAGGACCGCAGCGGTCAAATCAACCTCATTCAATTCAGAAATGTTTGTTCTTCCTCAATAATGTTTTTGACCAAATTTTGTACAATCGACTCAGGCAATTAGGGGGTATTAGCGTCTTAAAGCAAAATATTAAGATAATTTTACTCTTTGGGGCCCGGTCTTCCTAGCCCCAGTCTCATTTATTTAGGAAATGTTTGCCCTCCCCAAATGAAATTTCAGAGCAAATTTGGTTGAAATTTTCTCTGGCGTTTGGGAGATGCGTTTTAAAGCAAATCTAGCTAAGTTCCCCTTCAGGGCCCCGCCCCAATGGCATCAGCAGCGAACCAACCTCATTTATTTAAGAAAAGTGATTGCCCTCCCCTAGTGATGCTTCAGACTAAATTTGGTTGAAATCCTCTCTGGTGTTTTGGAGGAGATGCATTTTAAAGCAAATTTAGCTAAGTTCGTTTTCAGGGCCCTGCCCCCCTTGCCTCAGGGGTTGAACCAACCGCATTTATTTAAGAAGTGATTGCAATTCCCTAGTGATGCTGCAGATTAAATTTGGTTGAAATCCTCACTGGCGTTAAGTAGGAGATGCATTTTGAAAAACATCCCTTCAATACTTTCTGAGAAATAATGCTCAAGTTTTAACTCTTCCATTTTGGAATAGTTCATTATGAAATTTCAGGAGTGAATGAGTTAAACAAACCTGGTTTTACAACACAATTTAAAACAATAACTAAGTAGCGAGTCAATGGTGTTTAATAATAAAACAGCGCTGTGAACAAATGAGACACATAAAATAAATGAACATGATTCTTAGCTAAAAAATACACTTTGTATATAATACACCGATGTTTGATGTTCTACGCTAAATATTTTATAAGAAAAATTAGCTGCTATTGAATGTGATGTACCATTGTTTTTGTACTTGTTACTGATGATACAATTAAAGTAGAAAATAATTTGCATCTAATCATTTTCAACAGTTTTTAATCTGAAATGCGTACCAAGGTTCCTCATCCACACCCTTTCTCAGAAAAACTGTTTGGTAAAAATATGATGTATATCAATTTTTCTTCTGAATGATTGTTTTTACGAGGGTTGGGGGCAATTTTTCAGAGGCCCGATAGGCCATTAAACAAGAGACCAAGGAGTCTTATAGTGCTGAATACCATACCAGTTTATCAACGGTGTACTATAAATACAACCTACAAGAAGGACCTAACCCCTGTAGGTAGGCAAGACACCAAGGACATGATTTTATTCTTCCAATTCACGCCCAGCAATTTTGCATATGGTGGAGATCTCAACTGTTTCCACGAGTTAGTCCCTAGGGTCGGGTCTGGACCTCTGTGCCAATCTTAGCTATATATATATATATGGTAACATGAATGTCTTCGCCTCTACACATCTAGCAATCATACATTTGGTTTAAGAGTAAAGATAATGACCGCTTACAAGTTATGACCTAATATCTCTATCAAAGCCAACCTCTCAAATGGGAGAAGACCCTCAGGCTAGTTCTGGTAGCATGAATGCATTTCTCTAATTATGTTGAGTATGGGTATACATGGATATAGGTTGGGGATCTCCATAAATTAATACAACATAACATCTTCCATTAGGTTCTGCCCCTCTGTGGGCCATATATACATAAATTAAGTTTCCTAAGCCCAATGATGCTCCTGGCCAAATTTTCTTGAAATCCCCTTCATTGGTATGGAAGACGAGATTTTAAAGGATTTTTTCCGCTATTTTCTTTTCCCACACTCAAAATTGAGTCACCTTTGCCAAAACATTGAGTTCCCTTTGGTATAGGATGTTCCAGACTAAATTTGGTCAAAATTCACTTAGCTTAAAGCCATTCAGATTGGTATATCTCGCCTATGCCCTGATTTGACCATCAATGCACATATCAGAGAAAGTAACTTAAACGATGTGAGGAATGATAAGCAGATCTGCATTAAACCCTGCCTCTTATAATGTTTTAACAATGAAACCTCCAACTGCCCCGTTTAACTTATTACAGAGTGCCGTAGTCCTTTCCTATTTGTGTCAATCAGATTTTTGATTGATTTCTGTATTACTAAAGTTAAAACCCTTATGTTTTATAATGCAAAGAAAAACAGATGTATCTACAATATGATTAAACACAAACATATTAGACAATGTGGAAACTGAGGTATTTCTGTCAGTTTCACCTCCACAAATCTTATGCATACAAGTTATACTAAAAAAGTTCCCCAAGAGGCAAACAAAAATATTGTAAGTCGACATTAATATTTAAACTCAATAACTAAATTCACAATGAGTTTATGATCATTGATCCTTGATAGGATAATGATCTAAAATAGCAGCCAGTCACATTCAGGGTCAAATCAAATAGGGGTTGGCAAACCATTTGAAAAGTTGAACTTCATCATATTTACAAAGACCCATCCAAACATTTTTTCATTTCAATGTTCTTTCTGAGATTGTCTCTGGAAAGTTAAATTAAATCTGCCACATTCATAGGCATCTCGTCAATCTGTGTCGAGTAGTACTGCTCAATGTCTCTTAGAATTCTGATGTCATCATTTTTCACAAAGTTGATGGACACACCCTTTCGTCCAAATCTTCCAGAACGACCAATCCTGTGGATGTACAATTCTCTGTTGTTTGGGAGATCGTAATTGATGACCAGGGATACCTGTTGGACATCAATTCCTCTAGCCCACACGTCTGTACTTATCAGCACTCGACTTGCACCTGAAAGATATTACAGAACATAAAATTATATAATTACTTACTGCTATCATAGTTTAATCATACAAAATATTACCGATTACATTTTTAGCTTATCTTCCAAATAGCTTATAATTAACTGTAAGACTTTTTTGACAATTTGGTTTTTAATACAGTACATGGCTTACAGTTGAACTTTGGCGTTTAACAATTTCAGAAGCCAAACAACATTTTGCCTGAAACATGTAAGGTCAAATATTTAATGTACATACATAATTAACATCCCTAAGAATCAAAAGTCATTTTTGGGAGTGAAAAAGATACAAAGGTATACAGCAGCAGGCAAACAATTATATATATATGATTTATATGTTATCATATTCATTGCTATTAAGCATCTTGCTAGTGCTACTCCTGATATCGAGATTTTACCGGGAAATGTATAATCACACGTACTTCAGGAATAAAGCTTTCCAATTCATAGACATAAACAGACTCACTGGACATATAGAAAAGGCATGGAATGCGGACATACCGACCTCACGTGCTTACACGAGTTCATAAGCTCGAGGTCGTTAAGATTTTCGCTGTTGAGGGAGTTTCGCTCAGTCGATTCTTACTCTGTGAAAATAATGTTTTGTAAAATATCAAGATACCTATGTAATGCATGTGTGAGTGGACGTGAGAACGGCATACCAAGCGATAGCCTCTGGTCATATATACTGTGAGTTAGCGGACTGTGGAATGATGTCTAAAATGTACATAGCTGGAGGTTAGGGTGTTAAAGCTATTAAAGGTCGGTCAGGAACCCCAAACAGTTGATAGTAGACACCAATGTATTACCCGATCTGAATTCTTTCATGATTGCATCTCTTTCGTCTTGTCGCATGTCACCGTGCATAGATGACACTGTAAAATTGGCTTCCCTCATCTTCTCAGTCAACCAGTCAACCTTCCTCTTAGTGTTGCAGAAAATGACAGCTTGTGTGATGGTGAGAGTGTCATACAGATCACAGAGAGTATCAAATTTCCATTCCTCTCTCTCAACAGCAACAAAGAATTGTTTGATTCCCTCAAGTGTCAACTCGTCACGCTTGACTAGAATGCGGATAGGATCCGTCATGAATTTGTTGGTCATCTCCAAAATATCATGGGGTAATGTAGCAGAGATCAGCAGAACTTGAGTAGCAGGAGGAAGGTATCTGTATACATCATAAATCTGTTCTTTGAAACCTTTATTCAGCATTTCGTCTGCTTCGTCCAGGATAAGCATTTTGATAGATCGGGTTCTAAGATTCCTCCTTCTGATCATATCAAATACTCTTCCTGGTGTCCCAGATACCACATGCTGTCCGAAATCGAGCTTCCTAATGTCTTCGCCGACATTTGTTCCTCCGATGCATGAATGACACTGGACATTCATGTAATCTCCGAGGGCTAGGATGACCTTTTGAATTTGGACAGCCAATTCTCTGGTTGGAGAAAGCACCAAGGCTTGTGTTTCCCGTAACTGTGTGTCCAAACACTGCAGAATAGACATGGAGAACGTTGCTGTTTTTCCTGTACCCGACTGAGCCTGAGCGATCACATCTCGGCCTTTCACAATAGGTTTTATTGCTCTCTGCTGGATGGCTGACGGCTTCTCAAACCCGTAGGCATATACTCCACGTAAAAGTTCTTCTCTCAGACCCATGTTATCAAACGTTGGTGTGACTTCAACATCTTCACTTGTCTCAAATTCGATGTTTTTCATGATATCATCAGGAACCACGCGTCTATCTTCCCTTTCCGCCATGATTGCGTTTGTCGATATTCCACTCACTTAGATGTTTGAAATACGCTTTGTCTTCTCTTCCTTTTGAAACGCATTACTGAGTAGGATTATAGTCTGTTTCATTTTTCTTCTGACAAGTAATAATGAATTTTATAATGTGGCCGGGATATTTTTAATGTTAGTATCACTTCCCAACTGGTCAGCGACACACTTAAATAAAAAAATGGGACTTGAAAAACATCATCATTTACAAATTAATAAATTCTAATAATAAATAAATAAAAAGAAGCAAATCCGGAGCCCGTCTTCCCTTTCTTTCTTTCGACTCCTCCTCGAGTGGCAACAACGTGTTTATGCTGAAAGTGGAAGATGGCTGATACCGGCGATGCACCTGCAGTGAAAAAACAAAAGATTGTCGCCAGGTAAAATATATAGACTTAAAGGTGGTGTGTTACTTTCATCGTAATGACAGTATTGCAATTATCAGTATCCGTCCACACTTCAAAATGAAAGTAACATCGCCCCATCTTATGCATGACTGAGTCATTGCCATTGATGATCATGTAACCTGCATGATTTAACTTCCTGAAACAGAAGTATTCCTTTTGAATAGTGTATTTATTGTCAACAAAGCGACTTTTTTTCAGGATTCATATTTTATTATAAATACAAATACAAAACAGTTTGTTTGATGATCCCGCAAAAATATGAACACCAATACGCGATTGGATAAAACTAGTGGGGTAAACAAAGGACAAGTTAAGTATGAAAATTATCTTGGAATCTATGTTATATCAGTAAATGCCATGCACATATCTCATATAAGGATAATATATGAAAAACTTATTACCAAATTGTTAGTTATTACAAGGAAATTGGAATATATTGTTTAATGTACCCATATTGGGCCCCAGATATAAATGCCCTGATGATAAAATAGACTGTCCCATGGCTGGGACAGTATATATACACATACACGTAGTAGACTCAACCTCTTTAGTTAGGCGACAGCACTAGTGTGTACACCTGTGAAATGGCCAAGTGAGTTTAAATATAAATATATACACATCTATAGGCTACCGCAGACAGCTCAATTCACATATTGACATATATATAATGTTTAAAACGTTGTTATTGTAGTACATATATATACATATATTTTCAGAATTAATGTATCATATTTCTAATTTCCATCAGTTAGTTTCAACTTATTATGATTTGGTTTCTGTGAGAGCCATGACTTCACACCTTTGAAATCCAATGAAGGAATACATTCTCGATAACTTACAATATTGTAATGTATCTTCTCTTTAGAGAACATTGTTTGATAGAATTTCCAACTAATGAAAGGGTCATTTCGTTCTTCTACCTTAATTTTACAGCAGCCTGGATGGACTGGAGAAATTATTGTTCTCGCAGATCCATGTTGAGATAACTGTATAAAGATTAGTAAAAAACATTACTTTCATATTTTTGTTAAGTTATTATAGGAAAAAAAAACCATGGAAATGTTCATATTTTGACAGAAAAAAGATCAACAGGTTATGCAGGAATTACACATCAATGATTTAAAAGAAACTCTTTCAATTAAGTTAATCATACAAGTGAAGGTTTAAGGTCATAGGAGTATATTGATAAACGGAAATAGGAAGTACATCCCTAGTTGAAAATCCAATGTAGGGAGACAGTATCACAATTATTTCCGCATATTCTAATGTTTAATATTAAACTGATGAATATTGTATGTTTATTATTGACAGAACAGTGTTTTCTCTCAATATTTAAGTATTTCAAAGCAATCCAGGCATTAATTCAGTTGTTTTTTATCAATGAGTCACATTTGTCCATTTTTCTGTACTTCAGGAAACCGACTACCTATAGCTATTTCACTACTGTGAAGTTTTTCAAGAAAGATAACTCTTACATGCAGTTACTATGTGTATACAGTTTTATTATAAAATGTCATTTTTTAATCGTTTATATATAATTAATTTTACACAATTTCAGCATTTATTAAATTGATATACATCAATGCAATACTTATCTATATCAGTATCATTTTTATTGACATTATTTTATAAAAGATTGTGTCTTTTTCAAAATTCACTCCTTTTTACATAAATTTCCATTTAAAATCCTTAAAATTCTGACAACTTATATTTTTTTCATGGCAGAACATTTTCTTTACTTCAAAGCAATAAAACTACAAATTTTGAAGAAATTCTACTGAGAAATGGTGGCACAATCCTATTCCCTTAAGTTATAAATAGAAAAATTAAATTGCTTTAGTGACAATTAAGTTTACTAAATATTTATGTATTATATTATGTTTCACAACTTGCTAAAGGACTGAATTTTATCAAGAGAGAATATTTTACCAGAGCTTGGGACAATCTAGCTTCTGTTGATTTCATACACTGGCCTTCAAATGTTGCAGTACATGTATATCACGACTGATTATTTATTTTTCTCTGTGCGTTTCGGGTGATTTCATTTTAAATTTTAGTTATTCAAGAATATGTCATAACTAACTGACTGACCAAATGGTATGTCAAATGTGAAAATGACCAACTGATTTTCGACAAGAAGAATTTTCCTGGCAAAACGTGATTTAAAAGTAAGAAATTGCATTTTAAATTTTACAAAATACACATATTAGTTGATGCAAGAAATTTTAAACCCAATGCATTCTGCTTATCAAACGAATGTTTACAGTCGTTTAAGTCCTTTGTGAGAGCCATTATCAGTAAGACACAGAGATAAGATAACTTGATAGCAGGGGTGGACCAGAGCTTTCAGACAGTGGGTGGAAGAATAAATGAATTAGAGGGAAGATAAACATTGGTGCACTCTAGGTTAATCAGCAAGGTTTCTTCTTTAAGTTTAGCTTGAAAGTCAGTTTGCCATTTCTGGACCAGTTTCTATTTATATCACAATCAAAGCTAATATTGTGGTATTGTATGGTCCAAAAATATGGAAATGAGTCCGTAAAAAAATGTTTTCAGTGTTATTTCAGTGTTTGTGTCTGCTGTATTTTTTAATGGCAATTGAATGTAAAGCATATTTTAAATGTCCAGTCTTATACCTACCATATATCAGGTCCAGTACACTCTGCTGATTGGGCGATATAGCTATAAAGACCTATATAGCTATATTCACCTATAAATTATAGCTGTATTGAGCTATATTTTCTCAGATTTCTATTTTCATTAAATCAAAGGAAAGTCGCATAAAGCAATGAGGTTTATGGCAATGTTGACTACAAAAAGCATACATTTTGATGTTTATTTTCATTTTTCATAAATGTTAAATTTTCGAGTTTTTTACATCATTTTTCTTTTTAAAGAATGCTTATATTTAATGTCTTTTGTTATCTACCTAATGATAAAATCTTCTTTTAAAAGCGACTTTGTTTTGTTTTCCTTAAAAAAGAAAATCACATGAAAATAGCTCAAAAGACCTATATCAGATAGGTCAATAGAGCTATTATGGGTCTTTACAGCTATAAAGCTCAATCGGCAGAGTGTACTGGACCTGTATACCGTAATCACAAATTGATGACATTGTGTCCTCCTTATGTTGACAAATAAACAACTATAAATAACAGCAAATGTTTACATATTGAATTATATGCAGCACTATATGTATGAGTGCTGAATTATATTTATCATGAGAATATAACTGAATTATGATATAATAAAAAAAAATCTTTCTATGATATAAAAATAAGTAAATTATAAAACATCTTTGTTCAATAATAAGAATCATCTAAACCATATTTGTTGTATGTAGGCTATAGGGCTGCTATGGTTAGAAAAAATGCCACTCGCCTAGTCGAATAACCGTGTGTGCTTATCCGAAACGAAACTGGTTAGCTATGTTTTTTGTTCTGTGAAATACATGCAGCTACCAATGGCTCTTTATTTTGATAAAAATATGAAAACTTAATTCATTCAATTCATAAACAAAGATAACTCAGTACTTAGTTATGCTTTGTGAATACAGTTGTAAAACATTGCAAATTCATGTTTGTTTGTTCCAGAGAAGGATGTTTGTTGGGGTATGGAAACTGTAGGACATTATATAACAACATATGTTTGTTTGTCCCAGAGAAGGATGTTTGTTGGCGTATGGAAACTGTAGGGATATTATAACAATGTGTGTTTGTTTGTTCCAGGGAAGGATGTTTGCTGGGGTATGGACACTGTAGGGATATTTTAACAATGTGTGTTTGTTTGTTCCAGGGAAGGATGTTTGTTGGGGTATGGACACTGTAGGGATATTATAACAATGTACGTTTGTTTGTTCCAGGGAAGGATGTTTGTTGGGGTATGGAAACTGTAGGGATATTATAACAATGTACGTTTATTTGTCCCAGAGAAGGATGTTTGTAGGGGTATGGAAACTGTAGAGATATTATAACAATGTGTGTTTGTTTGTTCCAGAGAAGGATGTTTGTAGGGGTATGGAAACTGTAGGGATATTATAACAATGTACGTTTATTTGTTCCAGGGAAGGATGTTTGTTGGGATATGGAAACCCATTGTTGGACATCTCTGTTCAGGGAACTGCAGAATTCCTGGAAAAGTAAGTTAACTTCCCTTGTAAACACCTGTTGCTAAACATGTACATGTATTCAATTCAATATCTCCATTATGCAAAATCAGATCTATATCAGAATTGTGTTAAAAACACATGAAATACAATGTATTCCTGTGAAAGCAATAAACAGTAAAACTGATGGTATGGTTCATGAATAATTAAAAACAAAGTAATAAAATATTTCTTTCCTTTGAAAAACTAAGGTCTCTACATGTACTGGATGATACGTGACAAAACCTGTATTTTAACAATGTTATTAAAACAGTGCGAGTGAAATTAATATATTTGTTTTAATGGGCACAAATACACATATTTCAAGAGAGCAGAATTTTTTAGGAGTTCCTGGTAACATGATAGTGGAAATAAAATGGAGTCCAGAACTCAGATTTCTGTTTTACTGAAATTCTTCATTTAATAAGAAAAGAAGTGGATACATTTTTGACTTGGCACCATCTTATTTTTAAATTTTTACCAGGTATGAACTGAAAGCTGACAACGCCATCTTGGCAGAAGAAAAACACAAGGGAATGTATGTATGGAAATATCACAGAAAACATTGACAATTTATACTTTTATAATGAGCAAAAGTAATAATTTATACTTTTATTATGAGCAAAAGTAATAATTTCCATTGTAGTTCTAGAAAAACATCATATATGGTAATTAGGTGAATGTTTTTTGAATCCAGTATGTACAATGTGTGATGAGTCGTACAATGTGTGATGAGTCGTACCATGTGTGATGAGTCGAACACTGTGTGATGAGTCCTACAATGTACAATGTGTGATGAGTCCAACAATGTGTGATGAGTCGTACAATGTACAATGAGTGATGAGTCGTACAATGTGTGATGAGCCGTACAATGTACAATGTGTGATGAGTCGTCCAATGTGTGATGAGTCGTACAATGTGTGATGAGCCGTACAATGTACAATGTGTGATGAGTCATACCATGTGTTTTGAGTCGTACATGTACTATGTGTGATGAGTCGTACAATGTACAATGGGTGATGAGTCATACAATGTGTGATGAGTCGAACACTGTGTGATGAGTCGTACAATGTACAATGTGGGATGAGTCGTACAATGTGTGATGAGTCGTTCAATGTGTGATGAGTCGAACACTGTGTGATGAGTCGTACAATGTACAATGTGTGTTTGGTCGAACAATGTGTGATGAGTTGTACAATGTACAATGTGTGATGAGTCGAACAATGTCTGATGAGTCGTACAATGTACAATGTGTGATGTGTCGTACAATGTGTGATGAGTCGTACAATATACAATGTGTGATGAGACATACAATGTGTGATGAGTCGTACATGTACTATGTGGGATGAGTCGTACAATGTACAATGTGTGATTAGTCGAACAATGTGTGATGAGTCGTACAATGTAAAATGTGTGATGAGTCGTACAATGTGTGATAAGTCGTACAATGTACAATGTGTGATGAGTCTAACAATGTGTGATGAGACGTACAATGTACAATGTGTGATGAGTCGAACACTGTGCGATGAGTCGTACAATGTACAATGTGTGATGAGACATACAATGTGTGATGAGTCGTACATGTACTATTTGTGATGAGTCGTACAATGTACAATGTGTAATGAGGCGTACAATGTGTGATGAGTCGTACAATGTAAAATGTGTGATGAGTCGTACAATGTGTGATGAATCGTACAATGTGTGATGAGTCGAACACTGTGTGATGAGTCCTACAATGTACAATGTGTGATGAGTCGAACACTGTGCGATGAGTCGTACAATGTACAATGTGTGATTAGTCGAACAATGTGTGATGAGTCGTACAATGTGTGATGAGTCGTACAATGTGTGATGAGTCGAACACTGTGTGATGAGTCGTACAATGTACAATGTGTGATGAGTCGAACAATGTGTGATGAGTCGTACAATAAACTTCCAAAATCCAACCAGATGGACTTCCACTTAAGATAGTGGGATGACCTCAGAAGAGTGACCACTCAATTTCTAGGCTCCAAGTTCTTGGTGCACTTCCACTCATCAACTGCTGATGATCTGATAAAGAGGTTTGAGAAGAAAACGGAAGAAAAGGGTTTGAAGTTCAAATACATGGTTCAATCAGCAGGGCTCACAAATACATGGTGCAATCAGCATGCAGGGCTCACAAATACATGGTGCAATCAGCAGGGCTCACAAACACATGGTTCAATCAGCAGGGCTCACAAATACATGGTTCAATCAGCAGGGCTCACAAATACATGGTTCATTCAGCATGCATGGCTCACAAACATATGGTTCAATCAGCATGGCTCACAAATATATGATTCAATCAGCAGGGCTCCCAAATACATGGTGCAATCAGAATGCAGGGCTCACAAATACAGGGTTCAAGCAGCAGGGCTCACAAAGACAGGGTTCAATCAGCAGGGCACACAAATACATGGTGCAATCATCAGGGCTCACAAATACAAGGTGCAATCAGCAGGGCACACAAATACATTGTTCAAGCAGCAGGGCTCACAAATACATGGTGCAATCAGCAGGGCTCACAAATATATGGTTCAATCAGCGGGGCTCACAAATACATGGTGCAATCAGCAGGGCTCACAAATAATTGGTTCAATCAGCAGGGCTCACAAATACATGGTTCAATCAGCAGGGATCACAAATACATGGTGCAATCAGCCGGGCTCACAAATACATGGTGCAACCAGCAGGGCTCACAAATACATTGTTCAATCAGCAGGGCTCAAAAATACATGGTTCAATCAGCAGGACTCACAAATACATGGTTCAAATCAGAAGGGCTCACAAATACATGGTTCAATTAGCATGGAAGACTCACAAATACATGATGCAATCAGCAGGTCTCACAAATACATGGTGCAATCATCAGGGCTCACAAATACATGGTTCAAATCAGAAGGGCTCACAAATACATGGTTCAACCAGCAGGGCTCACAAATACATGGTGCAATCAGCAGGGCTCACAAATACATGGTTCAATTAGCATGCAAGACTCACAAATACATGATGCAATCAGCAGGGCTGACAAATACATGGTTCAATCAGCAGGGCTCAAAAATACATGGTTCAATCAGCAGGGCTCACAAATACATGGTTCAATCAGCAGGGCTCAAAAATACATGGTTCAATCAGCAGGGCTCACAAATAAATGGTTCAATCAGCAGGGCTCACAAATACATGGTGCAATCAGCAGGGCTCACAAATCCATGGTTCAAATCAGCAGGGCTCACAAATACATGGTTCAATCAGCAGGGCTCACAAATATATGGTTCAATCAGCAGGGCTCACGAATACATGGTTCAATCAGCAGGGCTTACAAATACATGGTGCAATCAGCAGGGCTCACAAATACATGGTTCAAATCAGCAGGGCTCACAAATACATGGCACAATCAGCAGGGCTCACAAATACATGGTGCAATCAGCAGGGCTCACAAATACATGGTTCAATCAGCAGGGCTCATAAATACATGGTTCAATCAGCATGCAGGGCTCACAAGTACATGGTTCAAATCAGCAGGGCTCACAAATATATGGTTCAATCAGCAGGGCTCACAAATACATGGTTCAATCAGCAGGGCTCACAAATACATGGTTCAAATCAGAAGAATTTTGTGTTGCCAAACTAAGATTTTACTTCATCAAAATTTTTTTTCGTGCACACAACTTTCCGTGTATTTTCAGATAGATGATTTATCAAGAACTGATCCACTTATTGAATCATTGTCATGGCTCTTTTTGTTTCTGGTGTATTATTAGCTGAATGCTAGATCAAGAGAATAACAGAATAGAAAACAGTGTTTTTCATCTTTTATTTATTCTTTCCCATCATCTATAATATTTCAATTATTTGCATATAGTTTTATTCAATTTTCAATATCAATTCACCAATGCTAACAATATCTTCAGACCAATATCATACAATATTTATTTAAATTTTATTTTTATATCCCTTCATGTATATATAAACATATTCTAGAAATAAATACTGCTGTCTTAATAAAATAATGAGCACCAGAGTCACTTAATGTCCAGCAGTTAACCCTTTCATCCCTATGTAACTTAAGTAGACTCTACCATGCATTGATCCAGAGGAGTCTATTTTGGTCTACAGTGGTAAAAGGGTTAAACTCAAAAGTATGATGCACATGTCACAATGTATCATCCTCTCATTGGGATTTATATACCTTAACCACCGCCAGCCGCAGTTGATGTCCCTTTTGTTAAAATTTATTTCTTCTCAGTTTTGGTTGGGGAGATGGTTTGGGGACATCTCTGGCTGTCAATATCTTATTCTTCGTCTGCTCAATTCCAGCAGAATTTGTTCATCTACTAGTAGTGGTTAGGGACTATGGATAAACCATGCTAGTTTCATTGTTTGTTTTCAAATCACTAGTGTGTATGATTCTTTCCCGGCCCACTTTCATGCTGGTCTCATGTCGAACACTACGTAAACATGTGATCGATAACCTTGTTAGTTATTTCAATATTTACTGTTAAAGCATCATAAGAATGGTGTGTTCTGATATGTTTTCTTCTTCCCTACGAGTAGATTTGAAGAGGATGTGTTGAATGTTCATGCTTCTAATATAGACATATTTCTTCATACATTTCAGTTACATTTCACCAGAGCTGTTGTTAATTGGTAATCAAAGATAGAGTGCTAGCTAATTACTGCATTGTGTTCATATTTTTTAGCATATTTTGTTCTCTTGTATTCACTCGGGCTGCCTTTGGCTGCAAAGACATGCTCAGTATGAACCCTGTAGGTAGAATATGCGAGATTTTGTTTTACTATAAAGTGACACACCTTGTTGTATCCACCAATACAATCCTTTGTTATATATGCAAACATAAATGTGAATTAAGGTGACATGTTATATATGAACAGGTACGATGACATGACAGAGACATTTAAGGACTCCGTAGAGTATGTGCCAGGGGGAGCCACTCTTAACTCAATCAGAATTGCTCAGGTAATGATAAACGTCGTTAACTTAGTGCATACAAACTGTTGATTACACAGTGAAGGATACAATATCTCTAAACTCTATGTATCTACATGACACAAAATATATTAATCGTATAGTGTATGTATTATGATGTCCTGAATCGGAATGGAAAAAATGTCATTATACAAAAATATCAAAGGTATAGATATATATACCTTATTTCTTTGGAAATCGGCGGTGGTGGGGGGACATATTGTGTTAACTCAGTTTGTTCTTATTATTATTATTCTTTCTTCTTCTTTTGGTATATAGGGGTATTAGGGGACAGTGAATTCAACTGTATAAGTTTCGTTGCCATAGCAACCTCACAGAGGCTTTTGATTGGTGGAAATTTAGATGGGGGAAGTTTTGGGGACTTCTGTAATGGTCCCCCATTTCAATTACTACTTGTTATTGTGTTTGGTCATCTAGTGGTTGACAGGAGTACCACAAGCGACAACATTCTTTGGCTGTATAAATGAAGACAAGTATGGCAACATTCTGCTCAAAAAGGCAACTGACGACAATGTCAACTTCAAGTGCCAGATCACCAAAAAGGCACCAACTGGCACCTGTGCCGTGATTGTGACCGACACAAGCAGGTAGGAACATTGTTGAAGCCAAATTTTAGGCATTTTCAATAGGAACAATTCTTGCCAATTCAAAGGAAATCTCCATTTCATCAGGAATAAAGCACAGGAGATTCCAAGACTATAACAGGATTAAAAATCTTTGAAGTAAAAATAGAATATCTTTCTTAGCAGTGAAATATGTTGAAACAATAATAGTAAAGAGCAACTTGGATCCTCTTTCAGCTCGGATGCTCTTTCAGCACGGTTGCTCTTTAAGACGCCAGTATAAAAATCACAGAAAAAATTGGGCCTTTGTGGCTCTAAGCTTCACAAGCCAAAATGACTTCCAAGACTTGGTGAAGTGCTGTTGAATATACTTTTCTTCATTTTGTTTGAAAACTATTTTTTTCTTGAACGTTTTTAGGTCATTATGTGCAAATTTAGGTGCAGCCAACTTGTTCACAAAGGACCATCTGGATGTCAAAGAAAACTGGAATCTTGTAGAGGAGGCACAGTACTATTATATTGCTGTAAGTATTTAAGTGAGTTTTTAGCTCACCTGGTCTACTATTCCTGAACTGCCTAGTAGTAGATTTTAACTAAATTTGGTCTGGAGCATCCTTAGGCCAAGGGCACTCAATTTTGTATAAACGGTGGGTGTGGCCTCTCTCTCTCCCCCCCCCCCCCCCCCCCCCAGGGGCAGAGGAGCAGGGCCCAATAGGGGGAATAGAGGTAAAACCTTTAAAATCCTTTTTCTAATGTAGGGCTAAAGGGATTATATCCTAATTTGGTCTGGAGCATCCTTGGGCCAAGGCAACTCGATCTTGTATAAACGGTGGGTGTGGCCCCTTAAACGGCACAGAGGGGCAGGGCTCAAAAGGGTGAATAGAGGTTTAAATCTTTAAAATCCTTCTCCTTCTGTACTATTTAGGGGGTTTTATCCAAATTTGGCCCAAAGTATCCTGAGTCAAACGGGAATAAATTTTGTTTAAACAGAGTGTGTTGCCCCTCTGGGTACAGACGGGTGGGGCCAAAAAATAATGTGAATTTGAATTGAGGTTTAAGTCTTCAAAATCCTTCGGCCTGGAACATCCTTGGGCAAAGGGGACTTCATTTTGCATAAACAGAGCGTGTGGCCCCTTTGGGTGCAAAATTGCGGGCCCAATAGGGGAATTTGAGGTTTAAATCTTTAAAATCCTTCTTCATCTGTACCATTGAAGGGATTTTTTCTTTTTTCATAATAAGAATAATTTCCCATAGTTGATTTATCATCTAAGCGAGCGATACAGACCCTCTGGGCCTCTTGTTATGAAAATGCATTAAAATAGCTTTGAATAAAAAATATCTACACAAAAGCCCTTGAAAATTGTCAGTTATCTAGAAATTGCAGGTCAGGTTGAATTATGAATTTTGTGTTTTGTTCATTAGGGTTTTCCTCTGACAGCTTGTCCAGCAGCTGTTGAAATGATTGCTAAACACTCAAGTGAAAAAGGCAAGACTTTCGCCACCAACTTATCTGCTCCCTTCATCTGCCAATTCTTCAAGGAACCGATGATGCAAGTCATGCCCTATGTTGACATTCTTTTTGGAAATGAAACAGTAAGTTATGTAGGAGTTTTTCTCATGAATCTCATATGGTTAAAATTGTTGTTTTAGCTTCAAATGGTTAAGTGAGCCTAAGCCATGGTGCATCGTCCATCTGGCGTTAACTTTTTCAACCCCACTTCGACCAAAGTCAGGGCACATAGAATTTGCTTCGTCTATGCATGTGTACGTGTCCATCTGTCCATCCTTCTGTGCTGACTTTGGTTTTATAGAGCATATTTCAGCCACTCTTTTATGAATGAGCATCAAACAAGGTTATAGGTACATCATGGGAAGGTAGTGTGCCATATCCTAAAAATAGGTCACTGTTGACCTTGATTTGATCTTTGACCATGACTTCAAGTTCTAAAATAGTGATAAGAATTGGGCAGAGCAGGTGCTGTCGGTAATTCCTGTGGTACTCTTGTTAGTAGGTCAGATTGGCGTGGGACGAACATATACTGTTCCACCCTGTGGTACTCTTGTTAGTAGGTCAGATTGGCGTGGGACGGACATATACTGTTTCACCCTGTGGTACTCTTGTTAGTAGGTCAGATTGGCGTGGGATGGGCGTATAATGTTCCTTCCTGTGGTACTCTTGTTAGTAGGTCAGATTGGCGTGGGACGGACATATACTGTTCCACCCTGTGGTACTCTTTGTAAGTAGGTCAGATTGGCATGGGACGGGCGTATAATGTTCCTTCCTGTGGTACTTTGCATGAATGATCAGTATCTTATGTAGTTCTGCACCGGCATTTTAATTTGGGATTTCAACCCTTTTTGATGGAGTTATGCCCTTTTTTGTGAAATACTTGTCCGCGCAACTCCTTAACGAACAGGTGGATTTCATTGAATTTTTGCATGATTGATTGGTATCTTATGTAGTTGTGCACCGGCATTTTAATTTGGGATTTCGACCCTTTTTGATGGAGTTATGCCCCTTTGTGCGAAATACTTGTACGTGTAACTCCTCCTTAACAAACAGGTGGATTTCATTGAAACTTTGCATGAATGATCCGTATCTTATGTAGTTGTGCACTGGCATTTTATTTTGGGATTTTGACCCTTTTTGATGGAGTTATGCCCCTTTGTGCGGTTTTGTGATATTATGTTTGCACAGGTTTTTCACATAAAAATGATCATAATTCCAAAAGTCATGTAATATTTCCTGTACACATTGTTACTGTGTATTACAATGATACTGATATATATTGCCGTTTTGTCTGAATTGACTTTCTTATCAGTTTTATTTACGTCCATTTCATTATCTCCCATACCACGAGATATAGTAACAGGTCTACATATCAACTAGATAACGAATTGCTTTTACATATATATGCTAGGGGTATTTGCATTCAGATATTTTTGTGGAAGTTTTGACCCTTTAACAAAAATATTTATTTATCTTGCTAAATACATTGAAGTATATAACTCTCAAATAAACATAACTTGGCGGAAGCGGGGGTATTAGTCAGCTATCCTGGCGACAGCTCTAATTATGCATATTGTTGTGCGATACATGTAATAGCAAGCTAACAGACAACTTACAATAAGTTGATTGTACCTGGACCTGTTGAAACTGAATGTCACACCTGTCTGCTATATAGTATGGCAACTGTTTGATCAGTTAATTGGGCAATTGTTGTATGATTAAGGTACAACTTCCCTGAGGTGAAGACTGACCTAACCCTTCCTCCACCATCTCATGGTGATATGTACTGAGAGACAAAACAGTTTTGATGCGCTGTTTTTCTGGAAAAAGTTGTAATATAATTATCAAAAAAGAAGAAACTGGAATCATGATTTTGAACAGTAAAAGCTTTTTTGCCCCAGGCAGCCATCTTGGATTTTGTCAGTTCAAGTTTGTTATCGCTATTTCTCAAGAAGTACCTGACAGATCTTTCTCGAATGTCATATGAAGGTTGTCAGTAAAAGATTATGTGTACCACTTTTAAGTATACTAGGAAATCATCTTTGATTCAAGATTATTTTACATGGAACAACTGACTATGTTATAAATTACTAGGGGTTGCTAGAGCCAATACAGCTGTACGAGAAATCCTTGAGTTATTGATTATACATTTTTATTTCATTTTTTTTAACAGGAAGCAGACACATTTGCCAAGGAGCATAAATTTGGAGTAAGTTATCACATAGAATCATGAAGACATCAGCACCAATTGTCCCAAGCATGTTCAGAGAGTAGAAAACACCTTTTGTTCCAAGCAGGTTGAGAGAGTAGATCTAGAAAACACCATTCATCCCCTGTAAGTTCAGAGAGTAAAAAACACCTTTTGTTCCCAGCAGGTTGAGAGAGTAGAAAACACCATTCATCACCTGTAAGTTCAGAGAGTAGAAAACATATTTGTCCCCAGCAGTTTCAGGAGAATTAAAAAACACACCGTTCATCTCCAGTAGGTTCAGGTGAGTTGAAAATGCCAGTAATGCCAAGTAGAATGAGGAGAGTAAAAAACACCATTTGTCCCCAGCAGATTCAAAAGGTAGTAAACACCATTTTTCTCAAGTAGGTTCAGGAGAGTAGAAAAAACATTCATCCCCACCTGGTTCAAGCACAGAAGAAAAATAAACATTCATCCCCCACCTCGTTCAAGCTTAGTAGAAAAACAATTCACCCACACCTGGGACAAGCACAGTAGCAAAAAAACATTCATCCCCACCAGGTTCAAGCACAGAAGAAAAATAAACATTCATCCCCACCTGGTTTAAGGACAGAAGAAAAATAAACATTCATCCCCCACCTTGTTCAAGCTTAGAAGAAAAAAATGTTCATCCACACCTGTTTCAAGCACATTAGAAAAAAAAACATTCATCCCCACCAGGTTCAATCAAAGTAGAAAAAAACATTCATCCTCACCTGGTTCAAGCAGAGTAAAAAATAAACAATCACCCCCCACCTGGTTCCAGCACAGTAGAATTCCAGCTCAGTAGGAAAAAACTTTCATCCACACCAGGTTCAAGCACATTGGGAAAGAAAACATTCATCCCCACCAGGTTCAAGAACATTGGGAAAAAAAGCATTCATCCCCACCATTTAGGAGAGTAGAAAACACTGTTTGTCCCTGGTAGGTTCAGGTGGTTAGAAGACATTTTTTTATACCATTGACAATAGAAGGAAGCTACAAAAACCCACTTTTTGATTAAGACATAAAACAGCTACTTTTAATATTCTCTAACAACACACTTGCAACAAAAAGGTGGACATTAAGCAATTTTTAACAGCTGATTGATTGATTGATTGATAGGTTTTACGTCCGCTTCACTACCGAATAGTTCAGTTATCCAGCAGACGATTTTAACAGCTTATGATAAATTCATTAGAGACTAATTACTGTCTGATATGATTTCACCTTTCACGATACGACCCTTACAAATCATAGTAATATTTATTATATTGAGTAAACATTCAATAAATTAAATTATCATACCACCTCTTTATAACAGCGTAGGATTGCTTGTACTGGTCACATTACTTTAACTCATTCACCCCTGAAGTTTCATAATGAACTATTCCAACCTTCAAATTGGAAGGGTTCAAAAGTGTCTTCAGGGGTCAATGAGTTAAAGCAAAATGTTGTTTTTTACTCTTTACCTCGAGTTTCCAATCAATATTCCTATCATTTGGGGTCTATAGAAAACTCGGCTAGAAGTATGACTGAGTTCTGAGTAACTGAAACAGACAATAGCAATGACAATGGTCCGAGTTCTGAGTAACTGAAACAGACAATAGCACTGACAATGGTCTGATAACCTCTACTTTATGTGCTATTGTATAGTAAAAGATTTGTTGCCATTACTGTAGGGAACCATAACTGTTTTCATTTGCCCTTCTGAAACAAGAATAATCTTCAGAAAACGGAGAATCAGGTTTTCCAACCACATCAGCAATTATTTTATATTTTATCTCCAAGAAGAGCAAAATAGAACTACAGTGTTTTTATTTTTTTTTATTTTTTTTACAGACAGAAGACAGGAAAGAAATTGCCAAGAAGATGGCTGCTTTACCTAAAGAAAACAAGGACAAACCAAGGATAGTGGTCATCACACAGGGGGAAGATCCAGTGATTGTAGTGAAAGGTGAGTCACTAGAAGCTCACAGTGGTTGTGTAGTGAAAGTTGAGTCACTAGAACCCTACAGTGGTTGTGTAGTGAAAGGCGAGTCACCAGAACCACACTTTGGTTGTGTAGTGAAAGGTGAGTCACTAGAACCCTACAGTGGGTGTAGTGAAAGGCGAGTCACTAGAACCGTACAGTGGTTGTAGTGAAAGATGAGTCACTAGAACCGTACAGTCATTGTAGTGAAAGGTGAGTCACTAGAACCGTACAGTGGTTGTAGTGAAAAATGAGTCACTAGAACCGTACAGTCATTGTAGTGAAAGGTGAGTCACTAGAACCGTACAGTGGTTGTAATGAAAGATGAGTCACTAGAACCCTACAGTGGTTGTGTAGTGAAAGGTGAATCACTAGAACCCTACAGTGGTTGTAGTGAAAGGTGAGTCACTAGAACCCTACAGTGGTTTTTGTGAAAGGTGAGTCACTAGAGCCGTACAGTGGTTGTGTAGTGAAAGTTGAGTCACTAGAACCGTATTGTTTGAAGTGAAAGGCGAGTCACTAGAATCGTACAGTGGTTTGACAGAGCATAAATCATACCCTAGGGAGTAACAGAGAAATCATACTCTAAGGGAGTAACAGAAAAGCTGTACCCTAAGGGAGTAACAGAGAAGCTGCACCCTAGACAGTAACAGAGAAGTTGCACCCTAAGGGAGTAACAGAGAAGTCGTACCCTAGGGAGTAACAGAGAAGTTGTACCCTAGGGAGTAACAGAGAAATTGTACCCTAGGGAGTAACAGAAAAGTTGTACCCTAGGGAATAACAGAGAAGTCGTACCCTAAGGGAGTAATAGAGAAGTCTTACCCTAAGGGAGTAACAGAGAAGTCGTACCCTAGGGAGTAACAGAGAAGTTGTACCCTAGGGAGTTACAGAAAAGTTGTACCCTAAGGGAGTAACAGAGAAGTCGTACCCTAGAGAGTAACAGAGAAGTAGTACCCTAGGGAGTAACAGAGAAGTTGTACCCTAGGGAGTTACAGAAAAGTTGTACCCTAAGGGAGTAACAGAGAAGTCGTACCCTAGGGAGTAACAGAGAAGTTGTACCCTAGGGAGTAACAGAGAAGTTGTACCCTAAGGGGTGACAGTAGAGTCAAGGAACAGGTAAAATTAGAAATAAATCTTGGATTGGTGGAAAAAATAAGATTCCGCATTTTTATCTCTGAGTTGGGATGTTGAATTCAGAATTAATTGTCCTGCAGCAATTCAAATTTAATACCTCAATTTGTTTGTAGCAATATTGACTTTATTGTTTATGCTGCTTCAGATGGTGAAGTGACAGAATACCCAGTCATCCCGATCAAATCTAAGGACATCATTGACACTAACGGAGCAGGAGATGCCTTTGTTGGAGGTAACTAGAACTGTATATAGAACTACCTGTATGTTCTTTCTCAGAAAACTTGTGCCGTTAACACTGAGACATGACCTTCCTGGTTTGCTGTTAGTGTAACAACTGTTCTAGAATTAAGGGTGAGGGTGATGAATGTGAGGACATTAGAGAAGTAATTTGTAAGGGTGAGGGTGAGGGTGATGAATATGAGGACATTAGAGAAGTAATTTGTAAGGGTGAGGGTGATGAATATGAGGACATTAGAGAAGTAATTTGTAAGGGTGAGGGTGAGGGTGATGAATATGAGGACATTAGAGAAGTAATTTGTAAGGGTAAGGGTGATGAATATGAGGACATTAGAGAAGTAATTTGTAAGGGTGAGGGTGATGAATATGAGGACATTAGAGAAGTAATTTGTAAGGGTGAGGGTGATGAATATGAGGACATTAGAGAAGTAATTTGTAAGGGTGAGGGTGATGAATATGAGGACATTAGAGAAGTAATTTGTAAGGGTGAGGGTGATGAATATGAGGACATTAGAGAAGTAATTTGTAAGGGTGAGGGTGATGAATATGAGGACATTAGAGAAGTAATTTGTAAGGGTGAGGGTGATGAATATGAGGACATTAGAGAAGTAATTTGTAAGGGTGAGGGTGATGAATATGAGGACATTAGAGAAGTAATTTGTAAGGGTGAGGGTGATGAATATGAGGACATTAGAGAAGTAATTTGTAAGGGTGAGGGTGATGAATATGAGGACATTAGAGAAGTAATTTGTAAGGGTGAGGGTGATGAATATGAGGACATTAGAGAAGTAATTTGTAAGGGTGAGGGTGATGAATATGAGGACATTAGAGAAGTAATTTGTAAGGGTGAGGGTGATGAATATGAGGACATTAGAGAAGTAATTTGTAAGGGTGAGGGTGATGAATATGAGGACATTAGAGAAGTAATTTGTAAGGGTGAGGGTGATGAATATGAGGACATTAGAGAAGTAATTTGTAAGGGTGAGGGTGATGAATATGAGGACATTAGAGAAGTAATTTGTAAGGGTGAGGGTGATGAATATGAGGACATTAGAGAAGTAATTTGTAAGGGTGAGGGTGATGAATATGAGGACATTAGAGAAGTAATTTTTGGGAGTAGGCTATTTCTGTAGGTTTTATTTGGGAATACTGTAATTCAGGACTGATAGTAGGCTATTTCTGTAGGTTTTATTTAGGAATACTGTAATTCAGGACTGATAGGAGGCTATTTCTGTAGGTTTTATTAAGGAATACTCAGGACTGACAGTAGGCTATTTCTGTAGGTTTTATTTAGGAATACTGTAATTCAGGACTGATAGGAGGCTCTTTCTGTAGGTTTTATTGAAGAATACTGTAATTCAGGACTGATAGGAGGCTATTTCTGTAGGTTTTATTTAGGAATACTCAGGACTGATAGTAGGCTATTTCTGTAGTGTTTTTTAGGAATGACTGATAGGGGACTATTTCTGTAGGTTCTATATATTTTTATGATTTGATTATGTTTGTTTTTTCAGGTTATCTAGCTGAGCTGGTGAAAGGGGAGAACGAAGCCAAATGTGTCAAGTGTGGAAACTATGCCGCTAACATTGTTATCCAGCGGTCTGGCTGTACATTCCCGGCCGAGCCCGATTTTGAATGACTGATATCTAGAAAGACAACTGATGAACCAGAATTTTTTACTTTACCTCTCAGCAGCTGACCAGTTGGATAATTTCATCCTTGTATGTAGATACAGCTGTGATTTAAATAACCATATGATATTGCAGCAGACGACAAATATCTCAGGATGTGAAATACTCAGCGGTGAACCCCCTCGTGTTGGTACCCTATACCAGAGTAAAGTTTCTCCTGACAATGGCTGTTAGGAATAAAAAACATCAATTTTCTATTAAGAAATATAAGCACAACTTTGGATTAAAACCAAAGCGTCAAGATCGATAAGTTATTTTCTAGCATATATCTTTGATCTCCCATTTGAAGAAGGTCATGTGTACGGCTACAGTGCTTTGATTGGCTTAGCTTGAGTTGTTCTAGGCACACATTGAATGAAACAAAAAGGAAAAGAAATCTAATAAGATACCTATTGACGCCTACCATTGAGGAGGCCTACCATTGAAGCCTACCATAGAGGAAGCCTACCGTTGAAAAATATTTACATTAAGAATTGCATTTCATTGACGGATAATTTTGTAGAAATAATTCAAATGTGTCTTGAATAAAAAAAAAAAGTGATAATCAGAACTGAATATTTCACAGGAGATATGTAATCTTCACTCAGAAACTTTAGTTACAATGCAGTATTAAAAAGAACAACGAACATGTATCTGCCAGAGTAAGTTTTCAGTATCTATTCATCTTCTGATTTGTACCGCAATAAAAATGGCATTCAAATATGAACTATAAGAACTGGAGAGGTATTTATAGTGGATACAAGTAAATCATCCAAGTACATGATAGTCTTATGTTAGATAATCATCTGGTACATGCTATGGAAATGACTCGCAGCTTACAGAGAGCTATTGAAAGAGGAACTGACAGATTGTAAATAACATAAAATCAGTAGCCTCTCGATCTCCAAGGTGATCTGTATCTGTCATTTCATTTCATTTCATTGACACAGGTTTATGGTGTGAATATTTAAATGTTAAATCAGATTTGAATATGAGTTGTAATGAAGAGTGATGTATTAAAAGTGGTAAAGGTGAGGGTGAACGTTAAAATCACTGGGGCTTGTACAGGTTATTCACTTTTTATTTAGCTTGGGTGATTCACAGAGTATTGTAGAGGAAAAATTCAAGAGCATAAATGTTGAATGTGGAGTGAAAAATGTGGTAAAGGGCAGTAAACAACATGAGCCTATTTTCAATACTAAATCACAGGGACTTCAATATTTCATTCGATAATTTTATGTATACAAGTAATCAAGAACAAATACGGTAGTGTACATATTTCAATTAAAAGAGCTTCAAGCCCCTGTGCTTTTTTCATCGTGAGAAATTCTTTTGCTGAAAGTGTGTCTTATTTCTTCATGACATTTAAGTGGAAATCATTAAAACAAATACAATTAAAAACAGCTGTTCTTTTTTTTTGTTAAAAGGGACTGATTGCTCTCCAAACATGGTTAAAATCTACAGGTTTCCAAATCTCAACACATGATGAAGATTCTTTTATCACCAATAGACACCAATATACAGGGATCTGTGTAGTGGTACAACACACTTAATTGACATAGACACCAATATACAGGGATCTGTGTAGTGGTACAACACATTTAATTGACATAGACACCAATATACAGGGATCTGTGTAGTGGTACAACACATTTAATTGACATAGACACCAATATACAGGGATCTGTGTAGTGGTACAACACATTTAATTGACATAGACACCAATATACAGGGATCTGTGTAGTGGTACAACACATTTAATTGACATAGACACCAATATACAGGGATCTGTGTAGTGGTACAACACATTTAATTGACATAGACACCAATATACAGGGATCTGTGTAGTGGTACAACACATTTAATTGACATAGACACCAATATACAGGGATCTGTGTAGTGGTACAACACATTTAATTGACATAGACACCAATATACAGGGATCTGTGTAGTGGTACAACACATTTAATTGACATAGACACCAATATACAGGGATCTGTGTAGTGGTACAACACATTTAATTGACATAGACACCAATATACAGGGATCTGTGTAGTGGTACAACACATTTAATTGACATAGACACCAATATACAGGGATCTGTGTAGTGGTACAACACATTTAATTGACATAGACACCAATATACAGGGATCTGTGTAGTGGTACAACACATTTAATTGACATAGACACCAATATACAGGGATCTGTGTAGTGGTACAACACATTTAATTGACATAGACACCAATATACAGGGATCTGTGTAGTGGTACAACACATTTAATTGACATAGACACCAATATACAGGGATCTGTGTAGTGGTACAACACATTTAATTGACATAGACACCAATATACAGGGATCTGTGTAGTGGTACAACACATTTAATTGACATAGACACCAATATACAGGGATCTGTGTAGTGGTACAACACATTTAATTGACATAGACACCAATATACAGGGATCTGTGTAGTGGTACAACACATTTAATTGACATAGACACCAATATACAGGGATCTGTGTAGTGGTACAACACATTTAATTGACATAGACACCAATATACAGGGATCTGTGTAGTGGTACAACACATTTAATTGACATAGACACCAATATACAGGGATCTGTGTAGTGGTACAACACATTTAATTGACATAGACACCAATATACAGGGATCTGTGTAGTGGTACAACACATTTAATTGACATAGACACCAATATACAGGGATCTGTGTAGTGGTACAACACATTTAATTGACATAGACACCAATATACAGGGATCTGTGTAGTGGTACAACACATTTAATTGACATAGACACCAATATACAGGGATCTGTGTAGTGGTACAACACATTTAATTGACATAGACACCAATATACAGGGATCTGTGTAGTGGTACAACACATTTAATTGACATAGACACCAATATACAGGGATCTGTGTAGTGGTACAACACATTTAATTGACATAGACACCAATATACAGGGATCTGTGTAGTGGTACAACACATTTAATTGACATAGACACCAATATACAGGGATCTGTGTAGTGGTACACCACACTTAATTGACATAGACACCAATATACAGGGATCTGTGTAGTGGTACACCACACTTAATTGACATAGACACCAATATACAGGGATCTGTGTAGTGGTACACCACACTTAATTGACATGTCTATATAAAAAGTTACACAGTGACGATACCCCTGATTGAATAAACTATTGTTGCATATCTCATTTTCTTTAAAATGAAAACTGCAATATTTTTTTTAAATGTACTCTACGATATTGATTCAAGAGACTTTGGTCTATTTGGGTGATGATGATAATACCTTTTCTTAATATGCATATGTCTTATGTTAGAATATAAGGTACACTCCATGAGGAAATAATACTTGATCCCACAACAATTACGTGTACGATTCTCATATGGAATAGGGTTTGATCTGTGCCGACGACCTACCTCAACACTCAAATGTTGAGAAGAGACTAAGGCATAAGGTAATAGGATTGTGTCGCCATTTCTCAGTAGAATTTCTTCAAATTTTGTAGTTATATTGCTTTGAAGTAAAGAACATTTTCTACCACAAAAAAAAAATATAGGTTGTCAGAATTTTAAGGATTTTAAATGGAAATTTATGTAAAAAGGAGTGAATTTTGAAGAAAAAAAAAAGAAACACAATTTTTTGCAAAATAATGTCAATAAAAATGATACTGACATAGATAAGTATTGCATTAATGTATATCAATTTCATAAATGCTGAAATTGTGTAAAATTAATTATCTATAAACGATTAAAAAATGACATTTTATCGTAAAACCATATACACATAGTAACTGCATGTAAGAGTTATCTTTCTTTAAAAACTTCACAGTAGTGAAATAGGTAGCCGGTTTCCTGAAGTACAGAAAAATGGACACATGTGACTCATTGATTAAAAAAACAACTGAATTAATGCCTGGATTGCTTTGAAATATTTTAATATTGAAAGAACACACTGTTCTGTCAATAATAAACATACAATATTCATCAGTTTAATATTAAACATTAGAATATGCGGAAATTGTGATACTGTCTCCCTACATTGGATTTTCAACTTGGGATGTACTTAATTCCTATTTCCGTTTAGCAATACACTCTATGACCTTAAATGACCTTAGCTGTTCATAGGACTTTAAACAAAGTTAAACCAAACCTTAGTTCCCTCTGCCAATTTCGAAAAAAAAAATGAAAAAAATCTTATTTTAAATAAATGCTTCTATACTACCTGCAGACTGCATGTACCAAACATATCCAACACCTTTAGTAAAAGAAAGTTCTTTTACTGCTCTAGCCCAATTTTGTTTGGAAAACTGTTCAGCGTCCTGATACAAGATGTCATATACTGACCTAACAAGATCGTTTGTTAAATAACATATTATCCTCGGCCAATATTTTATGATACTGTAATATCTTATCTTTAAAAAAACGACCTAGTTCACCATAAACAAAGTTATTTTGCATTGTGGATTTAAAATATGATAATCTTTTACAAAATTTATGGTGTACACATTCAATATCCTCAGCCGAATCGAAGCCTCTTACCTCGCTACCATAGCGGCACAGGCGTTACCAATTTATCAAATAAATCGCAGATATATTTGGGCAATTAATTAACAAAGTTAACAAACCAGAGTTTTCTAAGCCTCATAAAATGGACCCCTCGGTGTAAAAACAATGCCGTCAAATGAAAACTTGTTCACTATCTCTATTTCTCCTCCGTCATAATAAAATCTAACGTCACTTGCCACCCTTTCGTCTTTTGTAAATATTATTACCCCAGTTTTATTTACATTCAGTTTTAATTTCCAGGTGTTACAATCCACTTTCAGTATGTCTAATCCGTGTTGTAACTGTTCAGCAGATTCTGAAAAATTGTGATATCATCTGCCTATGAAACCAAATGGAGTTTCAAATAATCAATTGTTATACCATCAGAACCATTCAATATAAATTAAATTTCTAAATCATTTACATACATAACAAATAAAAAAGGAGACAAACTTTCACCTTGAAGAACCCTGATAATAAATTGAAAACTTTTACCCTGTTTTAGGTGGTCGGGTGGTGCAGTAGATAGCGCAATTGCCTTTCACCAAGGCGGCCGGGGTTCGATTCCCCGATCCGACGTTAAAAGGTTGGGGTCACCTGCCTGACCACGTGGGTTTTCTCCAGGTACTCCAGTTTCCTCTCACACTAAGACCCCCCACACGCTAACATCCTGGCCAACAAGAGTGATTAATATAAGTTGAAATAACTTGATTCATAATTGTTGTTAAATAAATAAAGTTTATATTTAATATTTATTTATTTTACCCTGATTTGACAGAACAAGTTGTATTTTTAGCCACAAGTTGTCCCTTACAACTTAATCAAATGCTTTTGAGAAATCAATAAACGCACAATATATGTTTTTTTCAAATAAAAAGGATGGGAGAACTCCATTACATTATCTATTGTACTATGACCTGTCCTAAATCAAGCCTATGCGTCAACGTAAAAAACCTTATATTTCTCTGCACAGCAATTAAGCCTTTAATTCAATACCCTCGTGAATAATTTCCAAACTACACTCAATAAAGTTATTCCCCTTTAGTTGGATACATCTGACAATGATCCCTTCTCTTTAAAGGAATAATATATCCCTCAGTCCATGCATCTGGAAAAAAATCTTTTCTTAAAAACAGAATTGAGCAATACATCAATGCTTTAATAAATGTATGAGGCCCGGCACTTTCACATGGCTTTAGCCGAGTGACTGTATTTCTCTCATTCAGTATCACAATTTTTAAAACTCTTCAAACCTGACCTGTTTTTCACCCTTAACATAATATCTTTCAACAAAATTTACAACCTTAGTTTCAGGCTCAAAACTGGATTATCTGGATTTGTGAGATGAGAAAAACTCCACAAAATCATCAGCAGTAATAAATGATTTTGGTTTATTTGTACATGATAATTTTAATAAACGCCAATATTCTTATGAATTGTTTTCCGTAGCCTGTAGTAATTTTCCTGTATGTTCTCTTTCGCAGGCCATTCAACATTTCATTGCTTTATATTTAGATTCATTCTTTTCTAGACCATATTTCTCACATATCTTTCTATACCAAGGAATATTGGTGGAGTTTTCTTGCGTGATATAAACCCCAGAAAACAATAGTATGTGGCAAGATAAGTGTTGTCGCTTTACATAAACCTTCATTGAAAATACTGACAGCAATGTTTAAATCTGCATTACTAATTTCTGTCGTACTCGATAACCGGTTAATTTCTAGAAAATTGGACCTTCAATCATCTTTGTGTATTTACAAAAACAACTTATAAGTGCAGGGTTCCATTTATACTTAGTTATCTCGAAT